ACTATAGGATGTTCTGAGTTTTCCAAAATTTGTTCCAGCCACAAAGAAGACAGTTAATTAACTAACAACTTGAACTGTCCATTTTTTTTCTGTTGTCCTACAACTCCTGACATTAGAATTCAAAGACATTAAAAATTAAGGCAGATATTACAAATCACTTGCCTTCTGAAATTCCTAAAACATGCAGTTTTCAGATGGCCTATAAAAATCTGATCCCTTATCTTACAAAATGCTGCAACAGTGGGAGATATATACCAAATAAACTGTCCAATAGTTTTCTTTCTTTCTTTCCTTCTTTTTTTTGGTAAATAGAATAAGTCCCCAGTGAGACTCTTTTAACCTACTTATTGATTTATGATCTCTAGACTATTTCATTAGGAAACTTTTCTTCCAATTTTGGCAATCTATTTTTGGTGCAAGAATCTAGGCCAAATACAAAGTTTCTGGAATAATTTCTGGAATGAAAACTGTTGAAAATTCTCTATAAATATACGCTGAGTTTACAGCATTAAAATGGTATTAAAAAACTCAGCCTAGAATACAAAGTATGTTATCATATGTTCCAATAAAATATGTCTTTAAGGCAAATGTATAGGTCTGCAGCCTCCATTCTGTAGTTTGGGTAAAATTATGTTCCATCCAAAGAATGAAATTTAGTAAGCTCCAAATTCATTCTGCAGTGTCCTCAATGAATTTACTCCTCTCTTGATCAGCCAGTGCTAACATTTATTAATTACCTACAAAATACAATCCTTTCCCTCAAGATATTTAAGCTATGGCAAAAAATGTTATAGAAGATGATATAAAACCATTGCTCTTTGCATATAGTGTGAACACTTGCATAGAAATTCCAAAATGGAAAACTAGTAGAGTCCTTTAAATATTTTCTACATTCAGTAAGTGGCTTCCTGCATTCCTAGAGGGGTTAAAGAACAAATTAAAAATAGAGAATAATGAGGCAGCATCCATAAAAGCAGCAAAGACATAGCTGTGAGAAGAGGTCATCCAACTGTGAAACTGAGGCAGCCCTGAGCCCCTCACTTGCATGGGCTCCTTCCAAGATCCAGTACTTAACTTTGTATTTGTATTTTGCATTCTTTTTCATAAAGAAAGCCTTCAAAAACTGCGTAAGCTGCAGACCCCGCAAAATCTGCATCTGCCCCAGTGAGGGAATACACAGTATGTGATTTTCCATAAATGAGTACTATACTTGGCTGAGATATTTCAAAACGCTGTAACCAGAGAGATGTACCAGGATCCTGGATGACAACACGCAATACTATTAAAATGCCAAGTCTTTCAAAATCAAATTGAGTGTTTAATGCAAGTGCAGTAAACAGTCCAATAGTATTTAGAAAGCATAATATGACTTTAGGAAAATCTGGGAAACATCTGGAAAAAAATAAGAATCACCAAGAAATTTTTGACTGTGATGACTAATTGAATGTGAGGTGCAGAGATGAGCAGAAAATGGCTGTTTTTCCAGATATAAAACATGTTATAAACCTTCAACAATTCAAACAATTTGGTACTACTGTAAAAATATACACACTGAACAAAATGATGTAAAAAATTAATCAAGATCCAAGAGGTCTACAAATTCAATAGGAAAGGGAAGAAGTGTTAGGAACATGGTAATGGGACAACTGGTCAGGTTTTGGGGAGTGAAAACCCATTTAGATCTTAACCCCGTAACATTTTCTCAGGTAATCTAAATAGATGAAGTCATAAAATATTTTTAAAGATCAAGTTATAGAAAAATTGCAAGAAAATAAACATTAACGTTTATCCAGCTCTATGGAGGAATGGTTTCTTAAAGCTTACAAACAATGAAATAAGTTACAAAATTTCATATTAACAGAACTGACAATCCAAAAATTAAAAATATATGCACAGACACAAAACATTACAAATGAAAGGCAAGCAAGCTATGGGGATAAAACAGTTTCTGTAAGTATGCAAGGTTAACATTGACCTTATATAATAGTTCATACAAATATACAAGCAAAACACCAAAACTCCAAAAGATAAATATGTAAAAATCATGCACAGTCTGGCAGTTCCTCAAAAGTTCAACCACGAAGTGACCATATGACCCAGCAGTTGCATGCCTACATATATACCCAAGAGAAGTGAGAATATATGTCTACACAAACACCTGTACATTAATGTTCAAAGAAGTATTATTCACAATAATCAAAAATTGAAATAACTCGAACAACCACTAATGAGTAAATGGATAAATATAATGTGTTAAATCCATATGATGGAATATTACTGGACAATATAATAAATGAAGTACCAACACATGATGCAATATGATTAGAACTTGAAAACTTATGCTAAAAGAAAGAAGCCAGTCATGGAAGACCACATATTGTGTGATTATATGAAATATCATATTCCATGAAATATTCGTATGATTCCACGAAACATCCAGAATAAGCAGATACAGAGAGACAGAAAGTAGAGATTACTGGTTGCCCAGGTCTGGGGTGGGATTCAGGGGAAGGGAGAAGTATCTGCTGATGGGTACCAGGCTCTTTGCTGGGGTGATGAAAATGCTCTAAAATGAACTGTGGTGATGACTGTACAACTCTGGGAATACACTAAAAATCACTGAATGGTACACTGTAAATGGGTGAATTGTATGATGTGTGAATTATATCAATATACAGTACATTTATTCAGTATGCAATACATACCACTAAACTATATGTTATAGCAATACACAATATTATAAGTAGCTTTATTGTAGCAATGCTGTTATCTTTTTAAAACATGCACAGTCAAATCACAGAAGAGAAAGCAGTTCGTAAACATAAGGAAATTATCAATATCCCTAGTAATCAAAGAAATACAAATCAAAACAATAAGGAGACACAATTTTTACTAATCAAAGTAATAGAGGGAAAGTTTTTAAATAATTCTCACTACTGCTAGAAGGAAGGCAAAACAGATATTCTCATATATTGTCAGTGAGGGTGCAAAGTGGCACAGCCCTTTTCAAAGGCAGCTTAGCCATATACATCAAGAACTCCAAATATAGTAATACTCCACCTCAGTGGTGTTGTTTATGAAAATATTACCTAAGAAATTCACCCCAAATATGAGGGAGGAAATCATTACATACAAAGACCCACAGTTCAGTAGTATGTATAACAGTGAAGAATGTTCAGTGATAGTGGAATAGTTAAGTGTGCTGTGATATACAAAGTTGGTGGAATATTACACAGCAACTAAAAATATATGACATACTTGTATGGAAAAATTATTATTACATTAGATCAAAAGAAAAGTAACAGCACAAAAAGGTATACACAGTATGATTACAACAAAGCTTAAGTTTTTCTTTTTTCTTGTATTTTTAAATTATGTTTAATAAACATTTAAAATTGTTTAAAATATCTAAAAGAGGAAAACAGGAACAATAACTACAAGGAAAGGCACCATATGATGCATGCTATAGTGAGCATCAGATATTTAGAGAAGAGATTTAAACTCAGGATTTCAATATTTCATCCACAGGTGACTTTGAGTTTCAAAGGTTTTCTTCCCCCAAAAGAAGTTCTTCAATGAATTCTTATTTATAGACCCCTCAGCCCTGGCATACACAAATAAAAACCAATACATTTGTGATAATGCACACCTCAGTCCATTGCATGAGATATGATGTACTTTCCCTTCAGTCCTAATTCTGCTCTACAACTATATTTACAATAAACGTTTACTCTTCAAACTATTTCCAACCTAGGCTTGTTAAATATTTTTTTTAAAAGATATATGTAACCTACTTTAAACTGTCACAAATGGAATCAAATATGCAAAGTCTTTAAGGAAAACTATTCACAATCAGAATGGAATACTTTTTATTACTTTAAAAAAAAAAAAACCCAGGTTGCAACATACTATATAAAATAGGTAATATCCTATTATTTATTTTCAGAAACATGGAATATTTCTTTGAAACTGAAAATGTAACATTCACATAATTTTCATCAGTGGTAATCTGGCACACAAAACTCTGCAAAAAAAGGTAGATTAGTGATAATAAAGTGAAGTGGGAAGGAGGATAGGATTTTAATGAAAAGTTGCAATTATAAATTGTAATATTATAATTAAACAGAATACAAGCCTTCAGAAATTCTAATTTGAATTTTAACACACTGAATGTTTGTGAAGACACAAACGGCCGAGAGGTACATGAAAAGATGTTCAATATTGCTAACTATCAGAGAAATGCAAATTAAAACTACAATAAGGTATGACCTCACACCAGTCAGAATGGCCATCATTAGAAAGTCCACAAATGGACAGTGTGGAGAAAAAGGAACCCTCCTACAATGTTGATGGGAATGTAGTTTAGTGCAGTCACTATGGAAAATACTATGAAGAGTCCTTGAAAAACTTAAAGTAGTTACCATATGATTCAACAATCCCACTCCTGGGCATATACCTGGACAGAACTCTAATTCAAAAAGACACATGCACCCCAGTGTTCACAGCAGCACTACTTACAATAGCCAAAACACGGAAACAACCTAAATGTCCATCAACAGTTGACTGGATAAAGAAGTTGTGGTATATTTATACAATGGAATACTACTCAGCCATAAAAAGGATAAAATAATGCCTTTTAAAACAACATAGATGGACCTGGAGAGCATCATTCTAAGTGAAGTAAGCCAGAAAGAGAAAGAAAAATATCATATGATATCACTTATATGCGGAATCTAAAAAAGAAAAGCACAAATGAACTTATTTACAAAACAGAAACAGACTCACAGGCATAGAAAATAAACTTATGGTTACCAGGAGGGGAAGGGGTAGAAAAGGATAAATTGGGAGTTTGAAATTTGCAAATACTAACTACTATATACAAAATAGATATACAACAAGTTTCCTCTATATAGCACAGGGAACTATACCCAAAATCTTGTAGTAACCTACAATGAAAAAGCATACAAAACAAATTTATGTGTCTATATGCATGACTGAAACATGATGCTGTCCACCAGAAATTGATACACTGTAACTGACTATACTTCAATTTAAAAAAGAATAGAAAGACAAAACAAACAAACAAAAAACAACCAATCTCTGAACATGCTCCTGGACCCAGGCAAGATCAGAGGGCCTGACCACCAATCTGAGTGATCATGATTCGAGAACTGCCCATCCTGAGCCGGCTTCTGTCAGACCCACAGGGAACAAGGCTGAGCAGGCTCGGCTGCCATTCACTGTGAGATGGAACTGGCCCATCCGGGACCGGGGCCAAAGGAGACAAGCAAATCCCAGGAGCAGCTGGCGTAAACCCCCACATCACCCCCCAGAGTGGTCCCAGGGCTCTCCCTCAGTCCACGTCTGTGGCCAAACAGGGGTGGCGTGGGTGGCGGTGGGACGAAGCCTCTTACGATCAGGTGACAAAGGAGGAAAAAGGCTGGCTTTGTACAGTCACAATGGGTCAGTTCAGTGCGTGGGTGAAGCCAGAAATGGACAGCAACCCCACAGTGACCCTGAGAGACAGCGGGGAGGACAAGGCCTTCCAACGGGCATGCAGTTTCCAGTGGCACCTCTGCACACAGAGCAAAGTAGCCCAGTATGAACATAAGACAGTCTTGAATGGCTTGACTGGTTAGTCTGGGGCTGTGACGGTCAAAGGTCGGAAGACTGGCATGGTAACAAGCCGTCAAAGAAGACGCCCAGCAACGCTACAGCTCCGGAACGCGTCTGCCCTCCCCAGCCGGTGCGGCCGGTAAGCTGGGACACAGCCTACAGCTGCTCGGTCCAGCAGGATGCAGAGGAAGTGACATGTGGAGGCATCTGTGCACATCAAGTATTAAGAAAGCCTAGCATCGTCTACTCTCCCCCTCATGGAGCCCTGAAGTGCCATTTAAAGAAATCCAGGCTGCCCTGCTAGAGAAAGAGGCCCCATGAAGAGGCCCTGAAGGATGAGGTGTCACATGGAGAAAGAGGCCGCGTGGAAGGACCTTGAAGTGCCAGGCACCTGGTCCAAGCCCCATCCAAATGCAACCACATGAGACCCTGATGATAATGAAGGCATTGCTTAGCTGAGCCCCAGTCAGCCCATGGGGTCAAGAGAGATAAGGAAAGGCCTGTTTTCAGCCACTGATTTTAGTAGCAGTTTATTACACAGCAAGAGGTAACTGAAACAGAACGTGGTACCTGAAATGGCATCTGTCTTGACAAAACTCGACTAAAACACACAGTATTAGCTTTGGGCCCAAGGTGGAGTTCCCTCAAGAGATCAGAGTGAAGGCAGGAAAGACAGCAATGAAATCACTATTGGAGACCAAAGGCAAGGGGACCAGAGTGTTATTATGTTGTCACAGTAGGGGATGCAGACACATACATGAAACTGTCACCTGCAGTCAGGAGGGAAATAGAGAAGCTACGTAAGGAACTCCTGGGTCTGGCTAAGGATGCTTGTAGGCAGACTGTTGAAAGCGCCAACTATTTTCATTTTGTTTTGTTTTTGTTTTTAACTGCCTATGACAAGTACATGGGGAGTAAGATGAGGGTGAAAAAAAAATGGAAATAGTACAGTCTTCCAGCGAATTTAGAGGCAATATAAAGCAACTGATACTTACTGGGTTTGAAAGCAATGCTGTTTCTCCAGATGACAAAAGCCTCTCAAGGTAAGAAATGGACTTAGAAGAGGGGCGGGCTGGGGGGATCAAATTCAGAACATGGGAAGTGAAATAAGCCTCAGGGTCAAGTTCAGATTAAGGGTGTGACAGTGAGACACTCTGTTGAAACCTCAGGAAGATTTTCAGTGATGCGTCATAAAGCCTTCCAGCCGAACAAAGAGACTTCTAAGAATCCTCAGGGCGTGCCTCCTACAGCCTCTCACCTAGACAACAGGGTTTCTAAGAATCATAAGGAAGTTGTCCCAGAGGAACTTCATGGGCTTGTTTCAGAAAGAAGTGCAGCTATGGCTTTTACCCAGTGGAGCTGATTATGACTTGATACAAACAAAAGGCACAATGTTTTAAAGGAACAGAATCCATTTGGGCTGAAAGGGATAGAGTTAGTTCATGATGAAAAGAGGTCTCGGGCCGTCAAATGTGTGCAGGCAGTAAGCAGGCTAAGAAAGCTGCTTAGCTTCCAAGAGAGGCCGTTTATTATAGAAAAGGAAGGATGACTCAGGGCAGAGCCAAGAGACGTGGGAACTAATCCCACAGAGCAGGACTGGTCCACAGGGAAGGGCTGAGAACATGTGCAGCTGGATTTCAAAAGCGCTACGAATCCTCACTGCCGTGTGCCTGCTGTTTCCCCCTCATGACTGTCCCAGTTTTCCTGTTCCTGCTCATCCTCACTGGGCGAATGCTGATTGAGTAACCTCTCTCTTTATGATTTAGTTCTGTAGAGCAAGAGAAGCCATACCTAAGGGGCTATACCCAAGAAAACAGCCGAGACGATCCACCCGTGCCTACAGCTGATTTAGAGGATGAGATCCTGGGTTCAAGTGGATGCCACTAGGGGATGAGACTTGTGTTCTTGGGAAAAGGAATGAGGTGTATGCTGTAGAAGGGAGGAATGTGAATTGTGGCCAGAGGATGGACTGTGCAGCTTTTCTTCAAGAACAACCCTACGTAACCCTGCCCCTCCCTGCACGCACCTACTGCTACTCCCATCTGAGACAAAGCTTATGTCCCACTGATCTGTGATGGCTTTGATGAACAGAATGCAAGGAGGTGATGTTGTGGGACTTTGGAGCCCAGGCATTAAGAAAGCTGAGCAGCTTCCATGTCTTCCCTCTTTGACCCACAAAACTGGCGATCTTGCTGGATGGAGTGGCCACATGGAGGAGCACTGGGGCACCCATCCGACTGCTACTGAGAAAGATCCCACACAACACCAGCAGAAGAGACCCCCAGCTGAGTCCAGCCAAACCACGAAGTCATGAGCTATAACTAAATCGTAATAACTAAGTTTGGGGGTGGTTTGTTACCCAGTAACAGACCACAAAACAATCAGGGTAAGGAGGTCTGCAGAAGACGGACGTGGTGGACCCGATGATAGTGGGCGTGAAATGTGAAGTTCTTTGTATTGTAATGTTAAGTCCCACAAGGGGGCATCCATCAAGGAAGAAAGATTCACAGAACACCTCAGACAGTTCACATCAGCCAGCATCTGCCATCGACTGTCCCAGCGGTGATTCCGTAAGTTCATGAATGGAGTAGCCATGGTGCTGAGGAAGAGGGTCTGGATGGGCCCAATAGCACTAGACCGGAAGAGGTGCAAGCAGCGGGTAAGGAAAGAGCTCAAGACTGCCATCACCAAGGCCGAGCCAGCGGCTGCCATGGCTGAACGTTCATTCTGTCAGTAAGAGAGACGAACAGCCCGACTCCAACATGGCAATCAGTCAAGGACACCAACTGCTCACTTGTGGCAAAAAGATTACACTGGTCCCCTTCCACCCTGATAGGGGCAGTGACTCCTGATTCTGATATGTGCTCCAGACACAGGCTTCCCTTTGGCACTCACACAACCTGAGATACACCACTCTCTGAGGACTGGTGTTTGATCAATGACTCCGAACCCTAGGTAACATTACATTCAGCTACTTTTTTCCAGAGAAGGTGCAACAGTGGACATGTGACAATGCAACCAACCTATCCTCTCACTTACTGCATCACTCAGGAGCTGCTAGCCTGATCGAGCAGTGGGATGGCCACTTAAAGACATAACTGAGCCAAAGCCAAAGCCAGCTTGGAGGTGATACCCTAGAAAGCTGCTCCTTGAGACACTGTATACACATAATATGGTCCTGTGTCACCAGTACGCAGAATACATGGGCCTGGGAGCCAAGGTTTGGAAGTAGACCATCACTTCCAGTAACCTGCTTAAGAAACCTGTGCTTCCTGTATCCATGATTCTAGACAATGCTTTTACCAAGGGACATAGCAAGACGGTCCTTAAACATAAAGCATGGCTGTCTCCAAGTCACCTCAAGCTCCTTTTGCCAAGAGACCAGCAGGCAAGGAAAGTCATTATCATCGTGTGAAGGGTACTTGATGATGATCAGCAGGAGGAGGCAGGCTTGCTCCTCCCCTGTGAGGACAGCCAGGTGACCCATCGTGGTGTCTCTTGGGATACTGCTCTCCAACTGTGATGGTAAGTGAGAAATTCGGAATTGACAGACAGCCAGCAAAGAGCATGATGAGCATGAGTTCAGATCCCTCAAGGCTGGGAGTCAAGGTCATTCCATCAGATCAGCTTCCTAGACCAGAAAAGCTGCCAGCGGAGGGTAAGGAAAGACATGTTGAGTATCAGTTGCAGCCTCAAGACCAGCTGTAATGGCCAGCACCATAACCCATCCCACTAACCTTCCTCTTGTGAATCTCCCAGAATCAGAGACCACCTAGAATCATGGAGATGTTCCCAGATGGGACTCCTGTATGAAGCAAGTGAATCTGATCAGGACAAGGGGTCAACTACAGTGGACCCCAGGTCCAAGGAACATATTTCTGCTGTTGCCGGCAGTGTGGCTGTGGATAACTCACATCCAAGATGCCACACTACAACATTTACTTGTCTCCTTATGTTTACAGTTTAAAAGTTACATTTTTAGACACAACATTATAAAATGATTGTAAATCAATAAAAAATGTTAAAAAATTAAAATAAAATAAGGAAAAATTATATATATATGTATATTTCACCAACATGATCTCAGAAACAACAATCTAGGTGTCTGCTCACAGGGAAATGCTTAAGTAATTGTGTCTTTACTCTAAGAGGTATTTTCTAAAATGGTCACTCTCTACAATATTACTCCCTGTTTCCTTGCCTTGCCTTGCTTTGCTTTATACCAAGTGACATTTTATTATATATGTATTGCTCACTGTATGGCTCTCTTTCTGGAATTAAGTCCACTGGGTAAGGGTTTTGTCATATTCACTATAGAATCCTCAGCATCTAAAATAGAGCGTGGCAGATTATAAAAATTACGTAAATATCTGTTGGTTATATGGATGAATGAAACATGGAATTTTCTTGGGAAAGACTATTTAGTAAAAATACCGAAAATCAAATGTGTTCTCTCATTAAAACAATGAAAAAAAAAGTTACATTTTTATAACTGGGAGGACAAGAGGAGGTCTCTGGGATGTTAATATTGTTTTACATATTGACCAAGGTGTTGGTTACAAAGGTGTGTGTTTACTTTGTAAAAATTTACTCAGTTGTACTCCTTATGATTTGTGCACATTTCTGTATGTATTTAAGCTCAATAAAGAGCTTCTTAAGAACAAGTCTCTACGTTTTGTAATTTAAATACTGAACAGTAAACACTTGAATGGCTTTTCTTAAAAATTTAAGCTATGAAAACAACTTAAAACTGAGGTAGGTACTATGATTTCACAGATCTAGTTTATCTGCACATAAGTCTTGTAAGTTCAACAGCTGTTTTCAATAGGTAAAGACACAGAATACAAGACACCACCAGAGGGGCTCAGCCTCAAGCACTTTACATGAAATGCTGCAGCTGAGAAAATGAACTTTCCTAATTATTTGAAAGGTTTCACCTTCTTAAACTGTTTTCCAGTTCAATGCACATGGGTTTTTCTACCACCAATTTATCCTTCCTCTGCCTGTTGTACAGATACATTGAACCTTTCAAGCGTCATGTCCACCAAAATTCTGAGAAATAAAATTAAAATTCATGTTGCCATTACTGATTAGGATGTATTATGAATGCAGAAACAAGGCAATTGAGTTTCTTTGGCAACTTGAAGTTTTTCCCCTCAAACCTTGTATATCAGACGCAGGTGTTAGAAATGAACACGGAGCTACACAAGCCATGTGACTTCCACCCAACTTCTACCATCTAAAGAAACGCTACACCGTAAAACATATTTTAATTATTTTAAATTACATGACTGTTACCTTCTCTAATAAGTTTGTATAAACCACAGCACGGGATTCCCCTTTCACTGCATTACTTCAGTGAGTTTCCCTTTGATTTTATATATGAAATTTAAGTATACAACTTATTAGGAATGTATTTACATGCTCAGATGCTCAACAAAGCCTTTTAAATGCTCTTCAGTCTTTAATTCATGCTCTAAATGATCTCAACATATTCTAGGCTTTGTTGGTATTACAGACCCAAGAAACTGAAAACAAAATAATGCTCCCCAGAAACAGCATTTATTGCAACAGCTATACCCAATACACATTAAAACTGTGCAAAGCCAACACATCCACAAATATTTAAGCAATTTTTCTAAAATGTTTCCCACCTATCTTATCTGTATGCCACAGCCCAATGCAAGGAAACACGCTAAGCACATTAATGAAATCACCTACTTACATGAGAGTGCAGTTTTGCACTCCTCACCCCACCTCCATTCTCGTTTAATCCTCCCTTTATTTTCTGGCCTCTAAATCCCAGTAATCCCCCAAACTGGGCGAAGGAGAACATACTTAGGAATTTAGGATCAAATTTAAAACTGCCAACTAAGCACCTGTCAAGTGCAAATCCTGGTACTCTCACAAAGGTGTCCCAGAAAAGAGGTCTGCTTAGATACCCCAACCGCTCAACCCCAGCCTGCGGTCCAAGAATCCCTAGACACCAGACAAGCCCCCATGCCTTTGCTTGAATCTATTCTTTCTCCTCCTCTTCCATATTTTGTCTGGACTGTTCCAACCTGCCTTTATTTCCAGTCTTGCCTTCTTCACTACATAAATGCTATCAAGTTGTTTTGCTAAAGACACATTTCACATGAAACTTTCATGTTCCCACACGGTTTTCATTTCAACAAAATGAAGCAGCACAATGAACACCATGATTTAATGATGTCCTTTAATATTCCATGAATGTTCAGTGGGGTTTTTTTTTCTCTCTTGCATGAGACTTGGAGCAAAATATTAATGAATCTTCATAAAAACCAATTAAAGTATCACCTTTGGTTTTAAATTAACTAATTAATCAAGTAGCTCTATTTTAGAGGAGAAAACGCCTCCGTTAGCAGTACAGCAGTGAAGAGCCTGAGCTCTGAAGCCTGTCTACCTGGGTTTAAATACACACGGTGCTAGGGAATAACTGACTTCACGCAAATCACTCAGTTGCACGGGGCAGCCTACCTGGAAGAGTTGTGGTGAGGGAGGATGTCACATTTTCTTGCAGGAAAGCACTCAGAACAGTGCCTGAAAAGTAGTTAAGCACTCGATAAATATTGGCCTTTATTAATATGTAAACCTGGGGGGAAAATATAAAAAAGAGCTTAACTATATATTTGCAGAAAATAGGACATACCACTTTTCTCCAGAACCGTCCTTCAAATTAATCTATACCCAAGACAATAATTATGATGATGAAACTGTGATTACGTCTCAAAAGCAGCATAAATTTAAAGAACAAAGTACAAGGTAACTACTTTGAGAGAGCTCTGCATTTTTGTGAAATAAACGCTCACAGAATGTCGAAGCAAAATATGTTAGTAGTTCCTCTTTTAATCTTTCTCATAATTCGCTTTTTTTTTTAAGTGTAACAATCACACAGTTGTAAGAAAAGTTTTCTCCCTTTCTGAATAGATGGGAAGTTTCAAAGGTTTATTCTGTTCTCTGAAAATTCTAGCACTTTAGTAGGAAAAGTTAAATATATAAATTTTACATGCTATTACAACAGTGTCCACACAGGCTTTAGGAGAAGCATTTCTGAGTTTACCAATGCCGGGAATAGTAAATGTTTAAGTTAAATTATGGGAATATTTGTTTATGCTGATAGGGAACAAAATGCTGCACAATACAACACACTAAAAAACAAACAATCCCCCTCTCCAACACACACACATCCCAAAACCAAAACCAAAAACCGTGTGGTTTTAAATCAATTTACAGCGTGAACCTGACACTAAATACATACATTCAGTCGACCTCTGACACGGCAGGGGTCGCGCGGCCCAACGAGGACCAGGCCAGCTCGCGCCGCGCCGGGAGCAGGGGCGGCGGGTTCGAGGCCGGGGCGCGGCGGCCTCTGCGCGCTCTCGGCGCCCGCCGCCCGCACGGGGCCCGCGGGAGCCCGGCCGCGGCGGGCGGTGGCGGAGGGGTGGGGTGAAGCCGTGAGGGCGGGGCCTCGGGAACAAGGGCGGGGGTCTGGGATCCGAGAGTGTGGAAGTGAGCGGACGCGCGGCCCTTAAGGCGCTGGACCCACACTCCGGGTCCCGGGACGGCAGGAAGCGCCCACCTGGCCGCCGGGGGAGGGGCCCCCGCGCGCCCGGAAGCTGAGGAGCCGCGCGCTGTGTGGACCGCGAAGTGAGATCCTCGGCTTTTCCTCTCCAGCCAGCCCCTGGAAGTCCACAGCAGTGTAGCCCGGGGCCTCAACCCCACGATTTGTGCAAAACTACCGGGCACAAGCCCGTAAAATGGAGGGAGCGTCCCTGGGTGGGCTCGAACCACCAACCTTTCGGTTAACAGCCGAACGCGCTAACCGATTGCGCCACAGAGACTCCGATGTGAGTTATGTGTCCAGCTACAGCCTTTATGAAAAATAATAAAGGCAGAGCAAGAATGTTATTTTCCTTTCTACTTTCTAATTCATATGATTAAAATCAAGATTTTTCCACTTAATATTTCTAACCCTTCAATTCCATTTTCCACCTTTAAAGCACATTAGAAGAATTATAAAATACAGCAAGATCGAGTGGAATTTCAGATTGCAACGTGTGTTAAAATACTGCTGTCCCCCAACCCCCGCCTCAAACACCCGTTTGGAATGTTTTGTTTCAGGAGATAACTATTTCTGATGTTCGTTTTTATAGGGAAATAACAATTTCAATTTTATGAGTTGAGAAACTTTCCTTTTGTTTCAAACTCTTTGTCCAGGGCTTTACTCGCTAATCTTCATAATTTCCTGTGTAGCATTCCCAAGGTCATCGGAATTGTATTTCCCTTGTTTAATTTATTTTCCAGTGTTATTAAATACGTATATGCAATCCCTATTTACTTGTTGTGTACTAAGCTATAGTGCAATTATTTGTCACTAACATTTTGTTAATGGAAGAGGACATTTGAAAAAAGCTCCAGTAACATTCTTTAATTCCTGTACATTGTAGTTCATCGCTAAATCCGCTCTTGATTCTCCCTGGAATTAGCCTGTACACCCACATTTGAAACATGCCATTTCGCAGGATATTTATAACCCAATTTGAGGAAAGAGAAGTTAAAGAGAGGTACGGTTTAAGACTAACGACTGAAAATCCCTAGAACAGAAACACCACTGGCAAGCATGTTACTCCGTATAATAAATATCCTGTATGAAAATCGTAGCCTTTGTGTGAGTATTTTCTGATGCCTTTTAAAATGTGCTTCAAAACTACACTTTTTTTCCTCCTCCCGCCTCAAAGAACTGCTAATTTGCCCTTGACCACTCTATATTTAAAGTTTTAACAGTCACTAAATTGCTCTGTCCAGAATCCCTTGAGAAAAAATTCGTGATTTATAGAAGTTGAATGCGACATGCCTTAGTCCAATCAACGTTTTTAGTTCCCATCCTTTGATAAGACAACTTAAATTGGCTTTGGAACCAATTAGCAGAGTTTCTTGAAATTGATGGGTTATCAAACAGTTGTGAATTCACACCAAACTGTACCACTCTGCTCTCCAAAAACTTTTAGAAGTACATTTGAAAATTTTGAATTTGGAAGGGGGAAAAAAAGAAAACAGGCCAGGAAGCAGTTATAAAGAACATACAATGAGTCTGATTTCACTATATGATGCTACTACCTTCATATTTTTTTATGTACCTGGTAATGTGAGCTAAAATTATCAGACATCGGTTTTTCTCCTCTGAATACCAAAATGAGTGTCCTTCCCTCTGCTATTGTTCCTGTGACTATTCAGTTAGAACAGACGGCAACTAGTACCTCACCACCCCTTCCTTCAATATTTACTCTGCTGCTTAAAATAATATTACGAACAGTTCTATTCATGTGAATATCTTTAGTTCCAATCTCTTTTCCTCACTTCAGTCATCATACCAACATTTTAACTTCTAAAAAGAGAAACGCTGAGAAACAGTTGATGAGAAAAAAATAATTCAGCAAGAAATAATTAGCTCATTGTATGCTAACATTTTTTTCTGTGTGAGGACCATTGTTTGTTTTAAAACTCAGTCTTCAAGCCTGGTTCTGAAGTTCTTAATGTTTTTAATAAAATAAATTGCTATTTCTACAGTTCATTAGCTTTGCCTTTTTTTGTCTCTCCATTTGTACTTCAAAAGAACATATAAATATTAAACAGATTGAATGGAATCTCAGTGTTTCACATGAAGACGTATATCAAACGTAGCTTCTTTATGCAAAATGCCCAGTTATAAAAATAAGAGTGTGTGTTGTCATCTAAATCTTTGTGATTATCTCATCTTAGGCCTTAATATCTGCACCCAGTTTTTAAAGCCAAATTAAGCCCACTGGATTAACTATAGAAACATACATCATTTTTCCTTAAATTGCAGGATAACCCACCACAGATGATTCTTACAGTTTCATTAGAATGTAGGTCTTTATAATTGTTAAAAGTGAAAAGGGCTGGGCAGTCTGTCCTTTGTTTGTACATCATACACAATGAACTGCAACTTTAACTTTTCCAAAAATGTGCCCTAGCAAAGAAGCTGACCTCTGCAGATTAATGGGCCTGTATATTTTATTTCCTTCTTACAGAGGAGAAAAAAGGGAGGGAGAGAGAGAGAAAAAAAAAAAACATCTTGCAAATAGGATCCACCTGTCTTGACAGACAAGGCAAGATGGACCACACTGATTTATAGACCTTCCCGGCATCATGAATCCAGTGCTCTCAGAAGATGTGCCTCCAGCTTCAACAAACAGAAGAGGCAACTCACAGGATTTCCATTCAACAATTATGCAAGAACTTAATTCTTTTTAAGTCCTGTATTTCAAAAGGACAGTGACTGAGTTGTTAATGATGAAAAATTCAGTTAGTCAGAATTTTAAAAGAAACCCAGTGAGTTAGAAAAATCATCTCAATAAATGGAAAATTGTGTCACCAGGAAATCAGTCAAAAGAGAATGCTGAACCAGGAGTCACAAGCGAAAAAGAACTACGAGACCAATTTTCAAAGCCAATTGAAGCCACATTTTAAAACCAATGTTTAGTAAAGGGGAGTCAAATCCTTCCAACCAGGCTCAAGCTTAAGTGATGTTTCCTACTCACTAAAAGTATCTTCTCATTCAAAATTGTTGACTGAAGATCAGTTATCAATTTATCAGGCCAATAGCATGACACAAAACAATATTCACAGAGCATACATCTCCCGTAGTTGACCATTAAATTGGATCTATTAATAAAATAAGAAAAGTGAGAAAGGTATATTAAAGCCTCATGTCTTTTTTTCATTATTTAAAAAATTGTACCCACTCCTGGGCTTATATCCAGAAGGAACCCTACTTCAAAATGACACCTGCACCCCAATGTTCATAGCAGCATTATTTACAATAGCCAAGACATGGAAACAGCCTAAATGTTCATCAACAGATGACTGTATAAAGATGTGGTATATTTATACAATGGAATACTACTCAGCCATAAAAACTGACAACATAATGCCATTTGCAGCAACATGGATGCTCCTGGAGAATGTCATTCTAAGTGAAGTAGCCAGAAAGAGAAAGAAAAATACCGTATGAGATCGCTCATATGTGGAATCTGAAAAAAACAAAACAAACAAAGCAGAAATACAAAACAGAAATAGACTTATAGACATGTGGTTGCCAAGGGGGTGGGGGTTGGGAAGAGATAGACTGGGATTTCAAAATTGTAGAATAGGTAAACAAAATTATACTGTATAGCACAGGGAAATATATACAAAATCTTATGGTAACTCACAGAGAAAGGAATGTGACAATGAACACATAATTTCATGTATAATTGAAAAATTGTGGTCTACACTGGAATTTGACACAACATTGTAAAATGATTGTAAGTCAATAAAAAATGTTAATAAATAAAGAGAGAAAAAGAAAAGAAAAAAGAAAAATGGTCAAAGGATTTGTAGACATATCTTAAAAGAAGATACACCAATGACCAACAGACACATAAAAAACTGCTCAGTATCAGTAATCATCAAGGAAATGCAAATCAAACCATGGTGAGATGTCACTTCACATCTGCAAGGATAAGAAGAACAGGAAGGATGGACAATAATGAGTGCAAAGTAGGATGTGGAGAGGTTGGAACCGCCATATATTGCTGGTGAGAATGTGGAGTAACAGTTATTCTAGAAAACAGCTTGATGGTTCCTCGAAATGTTCAACCTAGAATCATCATATGATCCAGCAATTTCACTCCTAGGCAGTTGAAAACACAGAGACACACAAAAACAATAATGTTATAGCAACATTACTTACAATAACCCAAGATGGAAACAACGTAGTCCATCAATTGATTATTCAACAAAATGCGCTGTGTCCAATTAATGGAATATGATTTAACCATGAGAAGGAAATAGGATTGACACATGGTGTAAGAGAAATGAACCTTGAGAACTTTATGCTAAGGTTATGTTTTTTGGTTATTGGGTTTTGTTTTTTGGGTTTTTTTTAGTGCAAAGGTAAAGAAGCCAGACTCAGAGACCACATATTGTAGGATTCCACTTATGTGAAATGTCCAGAATAAGTAAATCTACAAAGACAGAAAGCAGAAGCCAAGGGTTGGAGAACTGGGTGTTGGAGGATAATTGCTAATGGATGTGGGGTTTCTTTGGGGAATGATGACAATGTTCTGGAATTAGATAGTGGTGATGGTTGCACACTCTGTAAATACACTGAATTGTACACTTTAAAAGGGTGAATTTTATGACATGTGAATTATATCTCAATTACAATCAACAAACAAAAACAGGAAGCATAATGATGCCTTTGACTTGTTTACTAGTATAGAAATGAAGGCACAGAGAATTAACCAAATTGGTCAAAATTAGCAGCAGAACCTGCATTCTGACTTGCAAATCTGTGTATTTTAATCTACTTTTCATCCTGACTAGCCAACTCCCATGTTGATACTGTCACCTGGTTTCCAGTTAATTATTGCAATTTAATGACAAATCTGGTGGGAAACATTTCCTTACTGACTCACTCTGTAAAAGACAGTGGCTGGATATCTAAATCTACCTCTGTCTCATCAGTTTATCTAGGATCAATTTTTAAATTAGAACACACTGACTGAATACCTATCATGTGTCCCATCCTGTGCACATTTTGGGGAATGTAGAACTCAAGGCCAGAAAGTCAGAGAATTAGAGACATAGACTGAGAAATCATGGGTCTTGTGGTGCTGGTTAAAGTCCTAAGATGGGATGAAATTGCTAAGAGGACAGGAACTGGA